CTGTCTGCTTTAGACAAGTGCTATGATCTACTCTGATCACGCTAAGCACTTTGAATTGGGTGGATTTACAAGAATTCACTTCCATTTATCCATTAGAATAAATGGTTGCGTAAGTGCTTTGCCATTTGAAAAATTGCATTTCTTAAATGTTAACAGAGCTACCTCCAACACTGCTGCACTTTAGTAAGAGGTGGAAACATTACTCCGATCTATTCCTGTAGTAAAAATAGTCCAGTCTGAATAAAAAAAGTACAAAAGTATTTGCATAAAAATATACTTTTCAGTTTTTTGCCAAGCACTTTGAATTGCCTTATTTTGAAATGTGCCATGAGAATAAACGTGCTTGCCTTGCCTTGACTTAAAATACCAAAAGTAAAAGTACTTACTATGAGAAATTACCCATATCATGTATTTTAAATGACTGTAAAATGATGTATTATTATTCACGCTGGCAAAGGTAGAGCTTTATTATTATTATTATAAAGAAAATTAATGAAGCACTTATTTTAAATATTGTATAAGCTTATAAACTCAATCTGTAAAGTAACTAATACTTTAAGATGTCAAATAAATAGTAAAGTTTAGTAAAGTGCAATAACGGCTCCCAAAATGGAGTGGAGTCGAAGTATAAAGTAGCATAAGATGAAAACACTCCGGTATCGTACATCTTGAATACATGTAGGTTATTATTTCCACCGCTGAACTGAGCTGAGCAGCGTTTTGTGTGTTTCTCGTTTCCCCGCTTGTTTGGCAGAACCACCATCACTAAATTGTTCAGAAATAATGTGAGCTACTGCCTGTTTCTATCTTGGCTCTAGTTTAGGTGTTATGGAGGTAGAATGAGGGGATGAGGTAGTGTGGGGGGGAAGGGAGTCGGACGATGGGTGTTGATGGTGGGAGTTTTGGGGAGGGACCGTCTCGACTCGACCATATGTTGTCCCCAGCTTGCAGTTGCCACGCCAATGGGCCTCCAAATTTTAACACTTTTTGACAATGTGTCAGCTGAGCTCTACCCCTGGTTGTGTGCTGTGTGTGTGAAGGTGTGATTGTGTTGTTTTGTGTGAGTGTACGTGTGTGTGTGTGTGTGTGTGTGTGTGTGTGTGTGTGTGTGTGTGTGTGTGTGTGTGTGTGTGTGTGTGTGTGTGTGTGTGTGTGTGTGTGTGTGTGTGTGTGTGTGTGTGTGTGTGTGTGTGTGTGTGTGTGTGTGTCTGTGGGTGGATGTACACTATGCAATAGTGATCTCACATTCCTGCTCCCTCGCCTCCCCTTCCTCCTGCAGTCACCTTGTTCTCTTGGTGCACTGTGCCAAGTTCCCTGGAAGTCGGCTTACACCACGCACACAAATAAGCACCTATACGTGCACACACACACACACTCAATGCTTTTGCCATAGACTATGAAGTGTTCCCATATTAACAGCATGCAAAACAAAGAACATATGTTTAAGTAAAAAGAGTTTCACCATTCCCTTTTCAACCTATTCCTCTGTCTGTCGCTCGCGCTCACACACACATACGCTCACACACACATACGCTCACACGCTCACACACACACACACACACACACGCACACTCTCTATCTCACACGGACACACACTGTTTCTCACACACACACACACACACACACACACTCTCTCACAGACACTCTCACACACACACACACACACACACACACACACACACACACACACACACACACACACACACACACACACACACACACACACACACACACACACACACACACATGTTCTTAGTTCTTATAGTCAAGGTCAGACCTGGACAAGGGTTCCGTTGTGAAAACAGACCTAATAACACGCACTAATCTTTGGACCACGGGGCCACAAAATTAAATAAATGAATGATGTATAAAATCCGAAGACATTAAATAAACTGCAAAACTTTAACAAAATTAAAAGAAAAAACAAATTTGATGTTATTTCTATAAAATGGAATAATGTTGGTAGTGTTTGCAACATTTGTGCCAAAGCTAAAACTGCATTTTAACAGGACTAGAAAAAGAAAAGTTATACTGTGTGCTGAACAATTTTGGTTTCAATGAGGTGCAGCTTAATTGTGATTATTTTACCAAATTGAATTTTAGAAGAAAATGTTGCAAAAAAAAATGTAACATTAAAACAAAATTATGTATTTGTGAGCCCATAGTCTTTAAAAAAATGTAAAGGTCTCCTTTTGTTTTTTTATCACTAAGGACAATTGTCATAGTCACATGAGTTTAATTGTCCATAAAAAGAAATTCCCATTTTTTTCAACCTAGTTAAATTTGAATGTTTTAGTGCAAGTGTGTGGAGCTTAATATAAGATGTGCTTGGGGAACCTGTTGAAGCTGTAACCCAGCCTCTCCACAGCGAAAAAGTGATGCTCAAGTGTTTCATGATTTCAGTTTTAACATCATGAAAACTAAACATAACAAAGACTTCAGCACTCACTCAGCATAGTCCCTCTTGCAGTAGAGTTTGCGGTCCCGCAGAAAGCAGGAGTTTGTGAGCGCGTCCCCGCACGCGGCGCACCGCACACACTCCTCGTGCCAGAGGCCGTCAGTGACTCTGAGCAGGAATCTGTCTGTGATGCTCCGGCGGCATCCGGCACACACTGCGCTCTGATCCATATCTGACGGGGAAATCCTTTAATTAGGACAATTTTCCAATCAGCAGCACACACTGGCTAATTTAGCTGAGCAAAGTTTGATGAAGAGGTCATTAAACTGCGGGTTTATTTCGATACAATGCGCAAAAGTAATAGAAAGGGTCATTTTTATTACTGTAAAAAGTAAGAGTTAAATATTGAAACTATAAAGAGTCAATTGTAGGTCATTATTGTTTTAATTGACACACTTAAACGCTCGTCTGATGATGAACACGTGCCAACATAGTGCAAAAAAAAAATCCAAACAACAGAAGTTACATTTAAAAGTTTTACAAAAAATGACTTTCTTTCTTTGAACGTTACTAATTAAATATTTCCTGTATATAATAATTGCATCGAGTTGCACGCACCTAAGCATGCCTGTCGAACCCCATTGCAGTCCTCTGAAGAAACGTGGTGAAATAATACTTTTTTAAACCAATTCAGGAAAACCAATAGCGTAAATGAACATGTTTAATACAGTTAATTCCTATTGAACGCCATTACCTGTAAAGTGGTATCTTCCAGGAGCTGTAAAGTGTTGTTGTGGTCACTCTCCTCCTCAGAGCATCTCCGGCTGAAAGTTGCTGCTCGGAGCGTCAAAGTTTCTCTCGGAGCTTCAGACGACCTCTCTCTGTCCTCCGGTATCGACTAGTTAGGCTTTCTGTCAATTATCCTATTAGGAGTGAACGGGAAGGAGAGAGGGAGTAACAGAGAGAGAGAGAGAGAGAGAGAGAGAGAGAGAGACTTCCTCCATGTGCAGGTGCCGGTTACCTCTCTCTCTGTTTCTCTCTCTGTTTCTCTCTCTCTGTGTTACTCCCTCCCCCCCACACACACACACTCATTGGATGGGCCACAAGTTACCAGAGAGTTTTTCATTAGAGAGCAATAATGCATAAAGTGCTCAGGAAGTAAAGTGCAGTTTGAAAGGTCATCATTTTAAGAGACAGAGAGATAGATAGATAGATAGATAGATAGATAGATAGATAGATAGATAGATAGATAGATGGATAGATAGATAGATAGATAGATAGATAGATAGACAGATAGATAGATGGATAGAGATAGATGGATAGATAGATATAGAATCTAGAGATAGATAGATAGATAGATAGATAGATGCTTTAATACACTTTTTTTGGGGCATTGTTAACAACAATTAGATATATAAAAATCATGTGCCAGAGATCTCACCATCTATCTAGCGGCTAGCCTATCAGTTGATTTTTACAACTTTGTATTTTATATATTTTTTTAATTGTTAAACTTGATTTTTCAAAGGTTTAGAAAGATGTACGTGTTTAAATAAAAACAAAACCATTATACAAATAAACTATTTTGTACTAGTGCTGCACTGACTAATTTTTTAAGGCAGATATATTGATACTTCGACAATCCATCTTTGAAATAATCAGATTTCTGTTAGTATTATTAGATATTATTATTATTTTAATGTATGTATTAACACATTTTTAACATAGTTTAAACACTAACCAACTATGTATTTTTCTCCAGTCTTGTGACTGATATATCTCTGAAAAGTTAATTTAAGCCATGTCCAGCTCTACAGTATTCCAAATTATTTAGTTTGGACATTTTAGATTCACACTACATCTTCTCCACTGTGAAACACCATGACTAGTTTTTACACCTTCACATTGAGGATGAGGCTTATCTACAGTCGATTCCTTTAACCGGACAGAAGCCAAGAGGATGAGACAGGAACATCAAACAGGATGAAGAAGATCTGTGGACGCCATCTAGTGGACAACGACCAAAAACAAATATAAAAGGAACAGTTGTTGAAAATAGAACTGATTTTGGGTGACCTTTGTACGGTGGCCGACGGGGAAAAAACGCGCTACAATACAGCTGCATGCATCACATTTTTGGACGTTGGAGTGCGTTTGCACTTTTCGGCAACCGTACATTTGTCTGTGAGATGATACAAAAACATAGGGAGATCAATTAAATAAGAGAAAATGTATTTTAGCTTCAAATTATATACTATTTTGCTCATTCAGAAGTGTTTACATTGTTTCTCCACCATTGATTACGCTTTATGCATCAAGAATCTAACATAAAACTCTTTGTGTTTCATTAGAGACACAACAAATATGTATTTCAGATAATTAAGGATCGCAAGTAAAAATGGATTTGGATTTTAAAGGCAGCTTTTTTAAAACCCAAAAACAGATATCAAGTCAAGGAATGCCAGGAAAAAATACAATTAAAAAAATACCATTAATTTGAACTTGCCCTTATGCAATCCTTCTAGCTTGACTTGTGATGCAGTAGTAGGCTATAATATATGATTAGATAATAAGGTAAAAAAAAAGACAACACATTTCAGAAACATTTTTAAATAACTTTATTCTGTAAGAATTCTCAAATGTCTTTTAAGAAATGTGGATGGTTTCAGTTTTTTTATACAATTCCTCTTTGAATAAAATATGATTCGTATTTTCAAATTGCATTGGGTTGCTTTTAACAACGGACACCTGAAATTACCTATTTACAAAAAGAGATATCAGTTAACAATTCTATTAGAATTCATTTTGACCGCACTCGATCCTCCGTCTCAAGACTCCATCCTCCCCACAACCTCAAAATACTTTAAAAAATGTCTTAATTACAATGTTCTGCTTGGTACAAAATATGCTGTTTTACAATTTGAATCAAGTCTTTTTAAATTCTGTCTTCATATCGCTGACAATGTGGGAGTATATACAGGGGGGGGGGAGGGGGGGCTGGTGTCATGTGATCTGATGCGGCGCCTCCAGCATCTCCATCAGGAAGGTGTCGATGGGCGTGTCTCCGATCAGCTTGAAGAAGAACAGATGCTCCAGACACTTCAGGCCGATGGAGCGCAGCGCGGGCAGGCGGAGCAACAGCTTAGCAAACCTGAGGAAGAAAGAAAGAAGAAGAAGAAAGTGAGAATTACTGAGACTGAAAAAACATAAGCGATCATTATTTTCTATTATGGAAGAAATCAATCATTTCAAAAAAATGGTGTCTACTTACAGCATGCAAAACGCTTGTAGTCTTATGTTTAAATTTTTATCAGAATATATACTTACTTTATTTTTGGAAATAATACACTTTTACATGTATCTTACAACTGTAATCAACAGTTTAAATCAAAAATAATAAATCCATTAAAGGTGACCTATCATGCAAAATGCACTTTTGTACGTCTTTTATACATGAATATGTGTCCCCGGTGTTCCAGGGAACTCACCAAGTGTCAGAAAACACAACCCTCTCTATTTTCCTCCATACCCAAATCTCTAAAAAAGGGCTGCAACGGATCTGATACAGACTGATCCAGATTTGAACACTTCTATGACGTCACAGAAGTGGCGCTACGGCTATTGGGCCAACTCCACCAATCAGGAGGAGACAGCCACGGACATTGCCGTTAGAAAGCGCTGTAGACGCTGTAGTACATATGCCAGGCCTGTAGATGGTGCTGTTCTCACTGAGTCAGCCCATGCAAAGACAATGTTACATTGAGCGAAATGAGGAATGGCTAAAATGCATGATCTGTTTGGTATTTTGACAAATAAAAAGTATAAATATGCCTTATATAGGTATGGTCCTACACTATATTATTCAAATATAGCATGATAGGTCCACTTTAAATGAAATCATTAAATATGATGCACTGCTGTACGGTTAATTCATGTATTCATTTATCATGTAGTGTATTTAGTTAATTCTACTTACAGTTGAATGTATCTGTAGTTTAATAACAGGTATTTTTATCAATAATTATTTCCAAATCCTTTCATATATAGTTATATTTTGAATCTTAGGAACTACTCTTAATGCAGTGTTGTTTCATTGAATCGTTTATACCCCTACTCAAGGAACTGATTATTCCAATAGAGTGCCACAGTGACGCGTCCCAGAACCCGGAAGTAAGCTGCGCATGGGTTCCTTCGACAAAAAAACAATGCAATTTCTCCATAGGAATTTGAAAAATAGCTCGAAATAAGGTCTGTGGTTGACACACATTCAAGAGACGGATCACGTTTTGTTCAGTCGGATAATCTCCACATGTCTACCTTACTTAATAATTTTTAAATTATAAATCTAATCGATAGATTTATGATCGATAGATAGATTTATCCTATGGAGAAATTGCATTGCTTTTTTGTCGAAAGGAACCCATGCACAGCTTACTTCCGGGTTTTAGGACGCGTCACTGTGGCACTCTATAGGGTTACATTAAATGTATTCTCTCCACTTTTTTTGTGTTTCAGCTCAAGCAAATTGAGATAGCTCTTATCTCATATGATTTGTTGATTTTGTTTAGCTCCCAACAGTTAAATACAATAATAAATGCATCCATCTTTTATAAGTACTAACACTACCTGCCTCTACGTTTTAAATCTAAGGCTGTTGCAAGTGTGTTAGAGTTGTTTGGTAATGTAATCTACATTGATACATATAAACCATAGCATCATGGTGTCTGATATTGACTGATATAATGTGATGCGTTTCCTACCTGCCAGGCTGGTCGGGGTATTTCTGTTTCGTGTACGACTCCAATGAGGCGTAAACTTTTTCCCTCAAACCCTCCACCTCTGGGGGGTTCGACAGACCTTTTGCATCTGAAACAAACACAACACAGTCAGGTTAAGTCCGGGGTATTGACATTTAACGCATGCATTGCATTTACACAGCATAAGCTTTTCATTGCAAAAAAAACAATATCACTTTATTTATCTAAGGTGGGGTTGCTGTCTGGCACATTGAGTAACATTGAACGGTGATGGAGGCTGACCTGGGTTGAAGAGGACGATCGCTCGCAGGCAGCCGAGCTCTGTCTTATCCATATGCATATCTTTCATTTTGGATACCAACTCTGTCAGGACTCTGCAGGAGATCAAATTAATCACTTTAGATGATTGAAGGAGACGGTATTGAGCCACATACACATAATTCCATCTATGAAAGCCTAAGATAACAGTAGCCGAAACAAGCATTTGGTGAACGTTTTCCTACCCCAGACAACAAAATATCTGCAGTGTTTTGTGTTAATAACAACCACTTGTGACTGGCAACAGCACAATACTATTCAGAAATGTAAGAAATACAAAAAGAAACTGTATTTGTCCTTTGTGTCAAAAGGAAATGAGACCAACAGGAAGAGGCTGCACTTTAGATGTGTTAACAAAACTGAATTAAGACAATCATGTTTGTTTTAACTAGAGATGTCCCGATCCGATCACGTGATCAGGGATCGGAGCCGATCACGTGATTTTCAAAAGATCGGAATCGGGAGAAAAAAATCGGGGATCGGGTTAAATTTTTTTTTTGTATTCAATGTTACAAAACAAAAATGACCATGTTCAAGTCTTA